ATTAAAGTGATTTTGATATTATAAAATAAACTTTACATTTACATTTAACATTAATTTTTAATAATGAAATTCCAATTAATTTGAATTTTATCTAATTTATATCAAAAGTATAAATATTTTTTAAAATTTATATTATCATTAATATCAAAGCTATTTACACAAATCACATAAGATTTCTTATAATTTAATAAGTGATAAATATTATTTTCAAAATATGATGATTTTTTTTTTTATTTTACCATGTGATTCTAATATTTATGTTGAAAAAAAATTATAAATCAATAATGTTTTTAGAGTTTTTTTAAGGTATTAGGTAATATGCTTAGAAATTGTTCTTTAATTAAATATGTTAATAAATTTCCCATAAAGTGACTCTACGATCTTTTCCACCACCTACTAGGAAATGATTCAACACTCTTTCATCAATTTCATTTTCAATTAAAGTATTATCATTATCCTCCTGTGAAAAAACATGAGCGAATGCTAACGAGTAAACACTTTCTTTATGATATGACAATATAGCTAAAGGTTTCATTGTTTTTGAAGAAAAAACGCGTATCCTATTATTAAACAAACAAGAAATTATGTATAATTAATTATGTTGATAAAATTGAAATAATATATAGTATACATACTTTGAATCCCATCCGGCTGTAGCAAAAATTTTTGAATCGGATCGTATTTTAATATCAGCGATTCCAGCAGATTTTATTGTAATGCTATTAATTAAAGGTTCTTTTTCAAAGTTCTATAAAATGTATCTAAATTTAATAAAAGAATTTTTTTTTTTGTTTATAATAAAAGAAGCTCGTTTTTTTTTTTTTTTTTTTTACCTCATTAAAGTTATATTTTACAATCTTCTTATCTCCCGCAGTCGAGATTGCAAATTTTCGATTTTTCGAAACGTCCAATGCTAACACTAATTTGTTTTTAAGGAAAATTAAAGACTTATTTGATTAATCGAAATATTATAATCTTATAAAACAAAACCTGTTTCTTTATGTTGTTTTACGCTCCATAATCTTTCGGAGAACAATTCTTCATTAACATCATCATCATTGGATTTATCGGAAGAAAAAGACCACAAAATAACACCACCATTTTCATATGCTGATAAAATTAGATACTCAGATTTATTTGTTGGATGCTGAAAAAACTTTATAGCCATGCAATACCCTTCTATTGTAGAAAATTTTTCAAGTAAAAAGAGATGTTATGATAGAAAAAAATATAATATATATATATATATTCTGGATCGAAACGATACCAGTCTCCTGTTTTCCATCAAATCCTAAAATGCGTTGTTGATTTGAAAGATTCCACACATCGATCTAAAAGAAAATCACGTCAAAGCTATTTTAATACAAAAATTTCTCTTAAAGTAACACGTACAGCAGCAGATCCTTTTGAACTTGGTAAAGCAATCAAGATATCTTGATCATTGTCTCCTTTATAAAAAAAGTCTTGAATTAAAAAAAAAAAACAAAAAAGTTAAGACCCAAAAAGCCTCATATCGTAATTTTACCTTTAAAACAATAATCAAATTTACAAAAATTCAAGGAATTTACTGATAGACATTTTTCAAGTTTAGGCTCATCATCATCATCCTTTATTTCTACAATCTTTTCCTCCGATATAAACCTCTTATCATCATTTAAAGAATTCCGATCAATTTTCCATAATTTTAATAAATTATCTCTGCCATGACTTTTGGCAAAGGAAATATCAATTTAATTGTATTAAAAAGATTATGTAATTTAGAAAAAAGTTACCTGATCAATTTATTATTTAAAAACAAACATCTCAAAATTCCTTCATTATGTGCTTTAAATTGTAATGTGGGACGCATAGTGTTCATATCCCATATTATAATAATTCCTTCAGCATCTCTATTGTTTCATTTTATAATACGATTAATTAAATTAAAATAAAATAAAAAAGTTAATGTTAAAAAATTTACCCAGAAATTAATTTCGTGTTATTTTGATAGAATTCCAAATGATTAATTTGATCTTTATGTCCACGAAAAATATATTTTGGTGTAAGAGGACCACTCATTTTTTTATTTTATTTAGAGTGAAAGCTGGAGAAAAAGATAACAACGTCGGATATTAGTAACTCCGAAAAAAATCGCATATGTTTTTAAGAGTATTACTTTTTTATAATTGATTTATTTATTTATTTTATTCATTATTACATACAAATAAGTAAATAATTAATTCTAGTTACTAAAAAATTAAATTCAATAATAAATAATTAACCCCCAGCCAATATATTATTACACAAAGCTTAATTTAATTCACTACTTGTTGATAAATCATGAGATTGGAAATATTTAAAAAGATCATATGAATCCGTTTCAATACATCTAGTAAAAAAAAAAAAAAAAAGGTTAAGGATGAATTAAATGTAAAATCGAGATTCAAAAAACAAATTTCATTATATAAAGGATATGATATTAATAATTCTTTGATATCTGGCATTGGAACTTTAACATTTTCACATATTGTTGCCAATCCTTGTTCGACTCTGCTAACATAATCATTATAATAGGTATTTTGTTCGAATAATTCTGGTTCTTCTTGGAAAGTCATCACCGCATCCAATAATTGCTATAATATATGAATTTAAGGTTTAATAAATTACTAAACTTTCCTCCATTTTTCACACTTTATTTTTAGCAAAGTAAAATTTTACTAACCTGACATAATCTTTTAACCAATGAAACTTTATAATCATAAAAATCTATATCATCTAATAATGTAATATTTTCCGAGTCTTTTTCAATATCATTTTTACTAATCTTTTCAGCAAAGATATCAGTCTTTTTTGCTTTAAACGAGTTTACTTTTTGATAATGTCTAGGTGAATCCCATCCCCAAACATTATTATCATCTGATGAATCTTTAAACGTTGTATCAGTAAATGATATTCTTTTGGGTGTGATAGGACTAACCATAGGACTTGGTTCATCTGAAAAAATATCTTCAGCTTTATCCGTTATATGTTTAACGGAAATCGGCGAAACTGGTGAAAGTGGTGCATCCCAACTCCATGTATCAAAATTAACAACACCTTTTGAGATCACATCATCACTTGCTGCTAATGGTATATCAAAAATCGTTGTTCGACGTCTAGATTTTAAAATATGATCTGGCCTTTCTGGATCTGATTGCGGTGAAAAAGTCCATGTTTGTACAAGATAAAGAGCTAATAGCGGACATCCCATACGATCATAAGCAAAAATACTTCTTAACACAAAGAAATATTCTTTATCAAACGATATTTCTGCTGCTCCTCTTAGTGTTTGAATAGATTTATCCTTTAACTGCTTATATAAAACTATTAAAGCCGCATCAGGAGAATCGGTGGTTAAAGGTGTTGATTCTATCTTATGATCACACAGCGTTTCCAAGGGTACCTAGAAAACAATAATGGTATCTAAGGTAATTCTTATTTACTGAATATCTCATAAAGGGAAATAATTAAATATTTCGAACCATAATTGCTTTCACGGCTTTATCTCTCTGATTCAATGACCAAAAAGCCAAGCTAGCCAACCATCGATCTCCTGTTCTTATTGCCAATGGAATGACATGATCTTCATATATACTCTTCAAAACAGGGCCTTCTTCACCTGTAAATGATATCATAGTTATATTACCTACTTCTTTTGTTAAAATAAAAAATGAGTATAAATTTACCTTCATAAACTCTGGCAATGGCGATAGCTAATTGAAAATCATCTAAATGCTTTAAGCACACGTTAACAGCATCTTTTAACCGATCTCCAAGGAGGAAAAAGGCTGCCGCATATTCTTTCAAATTAGATATATTGTTAATTTTCTATACTTCACATTTTAGAATTCTCCTTGTATACACTTAAATCAATACCATAACGTTGTTTGCCTAACAAGGCATAAGCATTCTTCAAAGCTGCTGTCTTCCATCTAGGTTCAGTAAAATCATTTACAAGGAACTTCAACATGAGAGTTTGTTCTTTGTGTGCATTAGCAGTCCTCCACAATCCTAACAATAGTTTCTTTTTTCGTAATGCCATATAGAAAAGAGAACTATCCGTTGGGTCTCTCTCTTCTTTTGACATGTAATGATTACGAGCAACGTTTTCAAATTGTTGTCGCTAAAGTCAATTGAATGATAATTAACATAATTCCATAAAGCTTAAACATAAAGAAAAATTTAATGTAAGAAATGAACTTACAACTGACTCATTACTCCGAAGCCATAAAAAAATTCCGTGTATTCTTGCATCTTTCCATAAAAATTTCCCGCCAGATGCTTGGATACTGTATTCTATTAAAAGATCCTGCAAATAAAATTTCATCAATTAATAAATCTATTGTGATTATAAGAAAAGGTACGTAATTAGTTTTCTACCTGAGAATCACTATGCAATGCCCAGTTCATATCTCGATAATTTAAACCAGGTGTTCGTATGCCAGAAGATAGTTTATACCGATTTAAATAATGATACCGTCGCATAAATAAAACATAACGAACGCCATTTTCGTCCAAACTTCGTTTTTGATGTTCTACCTATATTTAATGGAACTTAATAATAAACCTTCAAAATACAAGATTTGAATTTTCATTACCTGATTAATAGTATCAATTAAAGCTAGCAATTGTGCTTGTTCGACATGTGACAAATCAGGCAATGAAATGACCTTTAATTGTTCACTCAAGAAGTTAGCCGTTTCCTCCGTAAACTCGAGTAAAGTTTCTTGAGATCTGATAAAATAAAATAGAAATTATTAATTATTATTAATTTGGTTTATGGAAATATTTATTACTTATATTTAAATATGTACCCTTCTTCATCACTATCTTCTCCAAAAAGACTACTATAACGACGAGTTTTTGTTGATGGCTTTGGCTTTAATAGCAAGAAAAGCAAGTTAACAGAATGAGGGAGGAATAAACAAATATTATTGTATTTATCAATAATTTTCAAACCGTTTCATCTTGGGCTTGGAATAATTTATCAAATGGTAAGGGAAGGAGTCGCTTAATAGGTTTATTTGACCCAATTAATATTTTAAGGAATTTATAAAGATGAGCAAGGATTTGCTTAACTAAATCCATTTTACCTATCGGGATAAATTCAAAGATCATCTTAATAAAAACCATTTGATTATTTAAACTTTTCTGAAGTGTAATAACTTACCCCAAAGAATATGTTGTAAAAGCAATGTTGGGTGATGATGTGGTAAAGGACCATTCAAATGGTCAACAACATGAAATAATGTAGGATCCTTTTGAATGATTCCAGTTATACTAGAAACTATCAGAGAATTCAATTTTAGAAAATAAAAAGATCGTGTAAATATATATAGTCAACAAAAAATTCAATTACCTTTTTTATTACTTTCTTCTGTTAACCATTTATTATAACAACGAAACTGATTACAATTAGCTACAATAAGTGAACCTCCACTTCCCCAAGATATAGCAGAAATAGGTAGTGCAACATTACTAAGAAATAACAAACGTATGTCATAAATATAGAACAATTGATTAAAAGATAAAATAAAATAAAAAAATTAGAAAAATAGAAAATTACCAAGGTTTATCAATTTCTGAAAACATAATCCAAGAGCCTCGCTCGGAAACATGATGCTTACGAAGCTGAGTATAAATATATATTTTCTGTGACGTTGACACAGCTAATACAATCTCGGCGTTAGAAGTGAAAAGCCAATCTATATCAACAATCTTTTCACTAAATAACGCAAAAGAAATTCAAAAACGGGAAATAAGAATAAATAATTAATTTTTATATTAAAAAAAAAATAAACATTGTTTCAAAAATATAGAACCTAAATCCTTCTATAAAATCTTTGGCAGGTGGTAATCTTTTAGTTATACATTCCCATATTGTCAATTCGTAACCATTTTCCTTTTCCTTTTCAATAACTATAAATAAATAAAATCAATAAAAAATTTAAATGTAAAATATGAATATATATAAAGACATTTCTTACCAACTGCAGCTTTCCCTTGTGGGCCACATTTGATTAACACAGTATTTTTTTTCTTTCCAATGTCAAAAACAACTTCTTCCATCCACAATACTTTATCATTATTAGGGTCGTCGCTATTATATTTCATATTGGCTTGCCAATATCTGATATAACCTTCGTCGGAATATGTTAGTAATATAGGAGGAGACAAGTTTTCGGATGGATAACGTCTTATATTAGACCCTGCCCACTGTTCGACAGAAATTGCCATTGTAACCTGACTGTCAATAGGAAGACAAGTCTTTGATACAAAATTAATTATCGGACCTGTATGACCTATAAAAGAATTTCAAATTTATTAAGGAATTTAAACTATAACAAGTAAAAAATTAATCGAACCTTCATATGAAAACGTCCAACAAAAAACTGTATTCTTTTTGGAGCTTACTCCAACAACATAAGTAGGAAAAGATGTTGTAGTCGTCTTGTGTTGATAAGTAAATAATAAGAGCAATTCATAAGAAGCATCGTAATCATCGAAAACAACCGTCTTATGAAAATTATCACAGTTGCTACCACACATAAAAAGTTCAATTCGTGTTCCATCATATGCAGCCAAAAACTCTCCTAATTAAATAAAAAAAAAAAAAATACATAAATAAATATATTGACAAAGAATAAGAGATGAATTTAAATTGTAGTGAAATACCATCAGAAAGCACGCATGCAAGCTTGATTTGCGAGTCCACATAAACCGGAGCTTTTTCGATAATTTTTGGGCCAATTTGTTCAACAAGCTAAATAGAAATAAATAAGTTAAAAATTTATATCTTTAAATAAAAATATTTCCTAGCATAATAAGTACCTGCGATATGTCAGGCTTCGTGATATCCCACAAGATTGCTTCTTTTCCATCATTAGTAAGTGAAACGAAACAATCAGTTCCAGGAGACTTGATAATAGTTTTGACATGATCACGATGACCACTCCATGAATACTTCAATTGCAATGGAGATAAATTTTCAAATACTTCGACAAGTCGAGTTGAATATTTGTTAATCCGACCTTGCGGACTCTGGGCTAATATTGTAAGTTCTACTGAAGCTTTACAAGAATAAACACGATAAAGTTAATATTTACGTATAAATGAGCGTATTCGCGGAATATTGTCTAAATTAGAATAATTACTGCTCTTAAAATCAGAACTTGTATTATCATGAAACACAAATGTGCTTCCATGAAAATATTCGGCATTAGATGGTGGAAGCGCCTGAGACGCACGAAGTAAAACGAGAACTTTTGGAATACGTCTTGGTCTACAATAAACATTCTAATTATAAAAATGATGTCAATATATTTTTGAAAATTTTATAAACAAGATTCAAATATCATAATAGTTACTCTTATTCCCCAAATAACCATAGAACCATCTTTTTGAATCTGATACAACAAATCCGGTGTATCATTTGCAAGATCTTTCAATTTTTTTAACCCAGCACCTATCTGGGTTTGTTCTTTTTCACTATCAAAAGAATCTATAGCCAATTTCAGAGATATCAGAAATTCTCTTGGATGTATCCAATGAATGGGCGAGTAACAATCGGGATCTCCGTGACAAATTCTTTCTTCTTCTGAAGAAGGTAGAGTCACCAACGATTGTTCAGGATCAACTACTGTGCATATATAAAGATTGTGAGGTTCTTCGGGATTCGTTGCAGCCCATATTCTACATATCCCGTCCTTGCATACTGTCAAAAGAATGTTGCTGCCTTGTGAACTAGGTGATTTTTTAAAAGGTTAATTTTTTCTAATAAAAACTTGAAGATCAAATAAATCAAAAAATTATTCTTTTTACTTTATCTGTTCAATTGGACCTTTACGCCATGACAAGTTTGTCACGGATCTTGGATGTGGCAAATAATGAAATTTGGATTTCCAGTCCTTGTAATCACCTTGGGGACAACACCAAATTTTAACCAATCTATCATACTTTGCATAAATAAATTTATTATAAGTATTTAATTTAAAATAAAAGTCACAACATTTAATGATAATTAGGATAAAAACCTCTCCAACTGTAGCAAATAATGTAGAATCCGGAGAAATTTCAGCATGAATTATATTAGATGCAACCCTGTAATAATTATGAAAGAAATTGTTGAAATAATAAATAAATGATTATAATTATGATATCCGATGTAAGTAAAATGACCTTTGTTCCCATATTTTTGTCCATTTGTTATGATTATCTTCGCCAGATTTATCTTGCTCCCAAAGAACAATGGCTCCTCCACCCACCAAGAGTTGACCTTATAATAAATAATTAAAATATTAAAAATTGATCCGCATACTAATTTTAATAAATTCCTAAGATCTTTACCATTAATTAAACTCCATGAAGTGCAAAATGTAGGATAATTATGTTCCAGTATTTCCAATAAAGACCATTGTACTTTCTGAAAATAGATAGACAATAATTGACATATAAAAAATTTCATCAAGTTTCTTTGACAAAGGTATATTATTATCATTGTGAAATTTTACCATATGTTTGTTTTGAATTGGTTTAAATATAAGTACGTTTGTTCCAATTGTTATAGCAATCTATTTAATTAAATGAAATAAAAAAATTTTTTTAATCAAATTTTTGTATTGTTTCATGTTTAAGCATAAACTTCCCACAAATCTTCTCATTCATTATGCATTCTAATAAATCTCGAAGGATAGGATTATTTTATGAAAAAGGATAAAAATATATTCATTTTATTCATCAAATTAAATAATCAACATTCGATCGTTTTAAACTATTAAATTGTCAGTCACAAGAGTAATTCGAATCTATAATCCAAAAAAAAATATTGGCAGACAGACTTTACACTCAAAATAATAAATAATTTGATATAAAGTAATATTTCTTACTTACCTTTCCATCAAATTCTGAAATCTCTGTAGAAAAAATTTTATCTTGATTCGGTGATCCTTTCAAAAATTCGGACGCATCGATTGTTTGGATCAATTCGGAAAATCCATTATAAATTACAAGTTTATTACCTGTACCATATACCTTTTGAAACAAAGGTTAAGTTAAAAATAAAGCAAACTTGAAACATTTTGTTAAGATAAGACTAAATTAGCTTACAATGTAACGGGAATTTTCCCAGTATGCGGTATGAAAACTTTGGACAAATCCATTGGACTTTCCTGAACTAATTTGTTGAAGCAACATACTTCCAAATATGAAAAATGAATAGAGCGTAAAAAATGATGTTAAAAAAAGTTGGAGTTTATATAGTAATTCATTATTTATGTTACACGAAATAATGGTTACACAATAATAAAAAATTTTTCTATTATTAATTTAATTTTCCGATAGATGGGTTCTTGGATTAGTTTACCCAAATCAATCAATCAAATCTTTTCGCTTATATAATTAAATATCTAAAAAATATATATCTATTTTTGATTTACATTTATTTACTTTTAATAAACAAAAAAATTCATTATTTCTCTTTTAATTAATCAATTTGTAAATATATAAATATATATTGTTATTATTTATAAGGTGTTAAAACAATATTTATTTTACAAATAAAAATCAGATTTCTTCCTTTTTTACTGACGTTCTTATGTAATACTAAATCAATTGTTAAATTATATATATTTATTCGAATAAAATCTTTCTTTGAAAAAAATAAATATAATTTTTAGTTAAAAAAAATTAGGTGCTTATATTTATTTTTTAATATATAAAAACAAAGATCAAAAAAATGATAAAATATAGATTTACAAATATTTAAACTTTTTTACAAAATTTTCAATAAAAATTACTTTTTTACTTTGATTTAAAAAGTAATCTTTAATTAGTAATATCATTTATTCTAACTCTATATTATCTATAAATAAATAATTTAAATTCAATTTTAGGATAATGATTATGTATTTGATTTAGTTGAAGTTAATAAAGCAAATGGATGTGATAATAATGCTTTCGCTGTTGGTCT